GTTGTAAGGGAACATGGGAAGAGAGAACTGTGGATATCTACATGCTGTCGCTACTGCGCTAGTTGCTCAAATGTATGGTTTTTATTTATCTAGGTCAGTTCATATTAATTAAAGTTTAGATATATAAAGTGTAATGTTCTTCTGAGTGTCTCCAATGTGTCTCTACAGTATATCTAACACCTAACGCACATGATATAGACAAGCTGTTGTTTCATTACTAAACAGGCATTTCATTTTGATAACGTCTCCCCTGCCAAATAGCTAGGTTATGACTTTGCATAGACAAACACTGCCACAGGACTCATATTTGTGTGGACAAGTGAATTCACTGAGGCATTGTGCTGCCACTCACAGTAGTTGCACCTCCATGCAGCTGGGAAAGAAATGTATTTCCTCATTGAGAGGCACGGAAACAGTGTGACTGCACTGTGTGGATGCCTTTCACTTCAGAGGTGTTATTTGTGACAAATGATTCCCTTCCTCCCAGAGTTACACATCCTGGATCATGTTCGTCATGATAACAACTTTGCCATATTGCATCACCAAAACTGTGCTTGAATATTATGAGCACAGTTGGTCATTGACAAATCTAAATCCAAAACAAGGCTTGCTGCGATTAAACTCCAGTTGAATTAAGTCTCTCTAGATATTATAGCTGGAGCATGTGAAGCTCTCTGGCTGGTCTCATACAGTGTTTGTACTTATACTGACAATAAGTAATGCACTGTTATTCGTATGTCTAACAAAATACATTTTTGCATAATTGTGAACAAGGAACTATAAAGAAAGTCAGAGGGAGGAAAAAGGCAGGTGGCTGGGTGGATACAAGAACAACACACGTTCACCCAGGGGAATGCTGTTTGTGATCATTGTGAAACCAGAAAATATGCATTTGTTCTGAGGCAAAGACACTCACGTAGTTATGTTATTGCACATCACAATCTTTTCATTCTTCCCGTGAAGACAGAAGTTGGTTTGAAAAACAGCAGAAATGTACATAATGCTGGACATTTAAACGATAGCGCAACAAATATTAGCTTATATCAGTCGCAGTCCCAATTTGAAAACAGCCACCCTTTGAACCAAGCTTGAGGAATCTCTTCAAATCCTCTGAAAACTTCCGACAACATGTTGCATTATCTAGCCTGTTCATCTCCAAACAGTTACCCCAATGCAACTCCCTGCAAACTCTTGACCCAGTGAAACTAGTTAATCTCTTAAACCTCCTCAACCTGTTTCCTCCCCAGCAACAATTCATCCTTTTCTGCTCCAAGTCTCTCTCCATCTGGAACGTCTACACTCATTGCATCATCTTACTGTAAAGTCTTTAACACCACCACCTTCCTTTCCAGGATCTCCAATCCTCACGAGACATTTCTCTGACTTTCTTGATGCCATATGAGTTTGATACGTCAGGGAAAGTGTAAGTCACGAGAGGACTATCTTTGAACTGCACCGAGGGACACAAACACACACACCAGGGCACACACACAGACTACTAACACACTATTCTAAGTAGCAACAGACATCAAGTAGGGAGATTACGAGGGAGCTGTGTCAATGTGTCAGTGTTCGAGTGTTTCCTCTGTCTCTTTCACTCACCCTCCATCTATCTCTCTAACTTACCCCCCTCCCATTCTTAGACAAACTGGCCAGATGGCTTGCAATCCTACATGCTAATCCACAACACACAGACTGTAGCTCTGACACACCTACCAGAAGACTACTGCTCCACTTTAGACAGATCTGCCCTTAAACACACACAAACACCCCACATGAGGCCACCGCACATTTATAAACTGTCAACAAAAGTCCTCAACGGTAACTCAGTGCATCGAACAATAGCAGCATAACTCATGCTGACTAAGTCCTCAACAGATGGAGGTCTACTACGTGTACGGGCTGTGGGTCCGACACTATCATATTTCAGGCAGCCCAGTTAGCCGAGATGAGGTTCTGTGTCGACTGCTTTTGTTAGCGGAGGTGAGGTAAGAGAAGCTGTGTGTGTTGGGTTACACCGGCCAGTGGAAAACTAGGGGAAGCCCAGAACTGCTCACTAATAGTCATGGAGCTGTGCAGGCACATATGGTGGAAAGTGAAAGGTTTTAAAGTTTTGATTGTACCATCGGATTTTAACGTTGAATAAAGTTGCAGGACATTTTGTTTTAATATGTGGTGGCAGATTAAAGGAATGTATGCAATAACGTTGTTGTATAACAGGATAACGATATTATTAAGTTTACTCAGCTCTGTCTTTCTGCTATTTACTGCTAAAATACGATCAATTGCTTGTTGAATATAAATAGGGAATTAGGCCTATTCAGCCAACAATCTTTATTAAGTATTTTGTTTAAACTAACTTAAAACATCTCTGAATACAATAGTCTTTTGAAAGTTTTCATCACAAAACAAAATATTGTACACAATTAATATATTAACCAGTGTATTATTGGTCACACTGCGCTGTAAGTAATAATGAAACATCTACATTAGTACATGTATCCAAGTGAGGAAGGCCCTGGTTGGAGGTATTGCACAAAACATCTGGCTTACAAACTAAGCTACAATAAATAATCGATTAAATTAAGTACAATTTTTAAGCCAATGTTTCCAATCAACAGTACATCATTATTTACAGTGCATACTTTAATAGCAAGGTGGATTTTGGATCTGTTTTATGTCAAGTTTATAAAATAACTCTCTCCACGTTTACCTTCCTTACATTACATTACATTACATGTCACTTGTTAGTCGCTTTTATCCAAAGCGACTTGCATACATTAAGTACTGTGGACAATCCCCACAGGAGCCATTTGGGGTGAAGTGTCTTGCCCAGGGACACAACGACATGCTGACTGCAGTGGGACTCGAACTTGCTATCCCCTGGTTCGAAGTCCAGCACACTATCCACTGAGCCATAAGCCTCCTTACATGTGTAAAGATAATGATGTCCAATAGCTGTTCACTATGAACAAATGTATTAATAAAAGAATACCATTAGATCACTGTAAGTTGATCACCATGGTCAGCAGTGCAAGCGTTTGCAGAAAAACCAAGCTAAGTTTAATAAGCTTCCATTTTGCCTGCATGATTTCTGTTTACACTATATACAGTATGCTTTAGGGTATTTTTACTTTTATTACAACAGAGCGCACACGCACATTAGACCAGACCTGACACATCAGCACCTTCTCACTAGCAACAGCTTATGTCTGTCAGCTTTCTTTGCAAATATAAATTGTTCATGAGTTGTTGCCAGTAACCTACACAGAGACAAAAGCCTGTGTGAATAATTTCACCTGATGGTAAGCAGCTCTACCCAGACTGCTGTCGACAAATAATACAAAGCTATAAGCTGCCCATCTGCGTGTAACAGACCTGTGTAGATGAAGGTGTGATGAATATATAATGCTTGTGGCAAGTGAAGCACAGCGTCTTAGACCTAAAGCGTGGCCAATTACCCAGCAGCGGTTTCACAGATCAGTTGGCCAGCAGGACGTATAAACACCTAACACTCTCATATATCATAGCATGAGTGTATGATCGTCTCTGACAATGTGTTACATTACTACTGTAGGCATGGTGTCTTCTGCAAAGCCCAGTGCATTGCACAAAACATCTTACGCACCGACACATTCCCCAAATATGTTCCCCTAGAAAGGACAGTGTAGATCTTTAAATAATGTAAGTGAACTTAAAAAAACATAATGGTGATGGTGATAAGGGACACTTTAATATGTCCTTCTAAAAAGATAGCATTCATCAAACAATATATCCCTTTAGGTGGACACAGTGAATCGAGTGCAGTCATGGTGCCTGGACACAGATGAATGGAGAGGGGCAATACATCTATATCAATATACCAATGTTCAAAAGGGAGTAGCACCTTCAGCATCCCATCCCCCAATTCCCCCTACCTCCATCCCTGACATGACTCCCTAACATCCCTCTTTCACACGACAGTCACACAACAGGTCTCCCATCAGGCCCTGCTTCTCCCAAACCGGAGGAGGACTGCCTCCCTCGGAGCTGAATCTCCCTGAGCTGTGACAGTCTAAAGAGGAGAGGGGATGGGGGACACACAAACATTCACACCACTGTATCCTCCATCCTCCTCCTCCAGCAGCAGCAGCAGCAGCGATGGCTGTGGAAGAATCCGAGGTAGAATAGCTCAGCTTTCAGAGGACCGGACCCCGCCCCCAATCCGCTCCCCAATGAAGTCAGGTGACCAGATGTTGTATATCTCCCTGTCAGCCGCCATGAAACTGCTACACATCCATGTTAAGGCCGAGAGACAGAGGCACGTCTCTGCTCTCTCTCATTGAAAGACATCAATGGAAATAAAAGCCGCCTCTGGATGAAACACTCCCTAGAAAGGCCATAAGTGAGGCAGTGCAGAGATAACAAAAGAGCATCCATCAGCATATTAAAACACCCCCCCCCTCCCCTTTTTCCCCGGCATATACAGCTCTGATCCATCAGTCAGCCTCGGGTCTACAGACCCAAAATAGCATTGCTTCTTGTTTGTTACAGTGTTGCTACTGCAGCTGCTGCATTTCTCCAGGAGTGACACACACACACACACACACACACACACACACACACACACACACACACACACACACATACACACACTAGGCCTGCACAAACGCCACCATTGATTCTCACACCTCCCCATCAATACAGATGCTATTTGTGAGGCACAAGGGAGTGCATACAGAGATGCTGTGATGCAGAGGGGGGTGTATGATCATACAAACACATCCTCAGCCCATCTGATGCAGGCATCCATTTCCATCTCGCCCTCACGGACAGACTGCTGATGAAACAGCTGCCTTCCTAGCAGGGCAGAATGCAGAGTGGAAGAAGGAGAGGTAGAGAAAAAGGCTACAAAGCACCCCTACATACACAGCCCTCCCCTCCTCTTCCTTTCTCTCCTCTCCTCCCTCCTCTGCCTCCCCCACACCTCATCCCCTATTGCCATACACAGAGGGAATTACCTGAAATATGTCTTCACATTCTCTTGCTCAGTGTTCAGCCTTTGAGCCCGGAGCTCTGGTAGGTTCATCGTCAGCCGTACAGTCCTAGTGACAGTTTAAAGGCAGGATTGCCATTCTCTTGTCAGACCAGTTCCTGACCCTAAAAGCAAGCTTGTTCGGCAGGCTGGATGCTTCACTGGCTGCTCACTGTTCCCTAGCCCATGATGTCATCCACCCTGTTTCCCTCATTGGCTGAGAGGCTGAATATTAATGCAGGAAGCGAGTCTGGGGGAGGAGGCAGCCAACGGACAGACAGCTTTGGTTTTCTGTTTAACAGATCAAACCTGCTGAGTGAGAGAGAGGAGGGAGGGAGCTCCAGAGCTGTTCTTTTGCAAGGCAAAAAACCTCTCAATAATACAGTGTAAAAGCTTTTGCAAAAATGTTATAGTTTTACATTTTAGAGCCCACATGGGAGAATACAGCATGAATGTAAGTATGTATTTAACCACGGTAAAAAGAGGATTTTAATTTGTTGTTGGAAGGGAAATCCTTTCATTTACAACTATCCTAGTCCTCAAAATAAATACAAATATATTTATATAATTCGTTTTTTTGTACAGTAAGATTCCCTTAGTAATTATAAGAAACTCAGTGCTTATTATTTATTTCTTGAGATGTTAAAGGTGTAAAAGTATGCCTGTTCAGTATTCACCAGAGCACATTGCTATTTTTGATTATGCAACTTGATCACAAGGGTGATATTATGTTTGTCATTTAGTGTAATGCTACATGTTCACCCCTATTTTGAGACATTTTGATGTTGCCTACTGAATTTATTTCTGAATATTAAGATTTCACTGCCAAACATCAACAGTTTTCGTTTTTTCAGAGTCTAAAAGTGACTCTGGGTTTATAAGCAGGCGGACACGACAACCAAAATACCTGCTGCGTTTGCCCTAATTTGCCTATGATGTCATCTTTTTCCTCTGTCTCACCTGTGATTGGCTGACAGGCACAGCATCTGCTCAGTCTCATGGCTAGTGCTTCAAGCCCAAGGTGGAGGTCTATCTGAGGCTCTGTGAATCATGGCTGGTTGTCCTGACAACCCCTCTAATGTCGATTTCATGTCGGAGAGAAATATGGCTGTTCAGTGACAGTGCTCACTCAAATGGAGAACATGACGATAACAAGAGCACAATGACCTTTGAAATCATTTTCTTTCAAATCAGAAGGTGGTTTTGGTGATTTTCTTTTACATAAATTGCAACCATATTTTCTGAAGACCCTAGACAAAATGGAGCTGTAAATAATTAAAATCATAGACTACCTGAATGCACTTACACAGGGTTTGAAACGTGTAGGTTCTTTGCTAATACACACATGAGACTTTCCTAGTTTTTAAATAGGTTACAGAATTAAGAATTAGCCAATGCACAAAGTGACAAGAACCAGTCTTTTTTCCAGCTTTGCAGACACACAAGTGATGCAAAAGCGAGACCTGATTAAACCCTGTCAATGTAGCCACAAGAGAAATGCAAATGTATATTCAGAAGAGCGGTGCGGTGAAAACATTTTAAAGCTTGAGAAGGGGTTTTGCTCTGACTCCTGTCAGCAGACTCTAAAGATCAGTGTACACTAACGCAGAGGAAGTGAGGCGCAGTTTACACAGAAAAATGTCAAATTGCTCTTTAATCTGAGGAAACAAAACTAGCATGACCAACCCTTTACTGCAGGATTAATATTGCACTCTTTATATTATCATTTCAGGAGTTTTTCTTACATTTTTCCCATCAAATTCTCCCACGAGTTAAAGCCAGCATCAGTCACAAATTAATACATTTTCCATGCTGATGACTTCCTTACATGTGACTGTAATTATGAATAGTCGGACTCACGGGGTAGCTAAAACCAGCAAGATTTTGGCTGATAGGAAATACCCTGCAAAGGTCAGCTGCCCATCACAGCTCTGACACTGAATCACCCTCAACCATGTGATTGACTTATTCAACAGGCCTTGGATTTAAGAGAAACTCGTACAAACACAGAAACATCTAAAAATCCAGCAAGAGGAACCCCTGTGAGCTGAAGGTGCTGACCCCCGAGCTCCACGCTGCCACAACAGATCAACTCATGTCTCTTGTTTTCTCAATATCCACATGTCTTTGTTTCTTGAACCAAAGTAACCACATCTTTGTGTTTTTGGCCAAATGTGTTTATGCTATCTACAGAGTGAATGTCATGGAGTAATAAAAGGCTGTTATGGTACTGTAATCCATCTTTTGCTGTGCGTTTCTCATGTCAGCCTATTTCTGCTCATCAACAGGGTCAGCATAAACATTATGTGGCCCTGGGTCGCACATGTGACCAAACATCAGTCAAGGGTGTGTGGTATGACCTCTTGGACCCCCTACTCCGGGAGCCCTTCTGACCTAACCAACAACTCAAGCCTCAACTCCTGGGCCCTGGCCAGATTCTGGACTCACTACCCAACAAAGACATAACACACAAACACAGATATATACACACACACATATCCACTTCCTTCAATGACTGCACTGATGTCGGCCACAAAGGATGCTTCGTTAAGCTTTCTTTCTACCTTTGTTTTGTAGATTCAAGTGAGGTGAAATTAACCAAGGATTACGTTTTTCACCTGGATTAACGTGTTCAGTTTGCTTCAAGAGATGAGCAGATGTTTTGTACTCAGACTGGGCAACAAATGATCAGAAAGGTCACATATTTTCTAGTACCAGCGTGTTCTCTCACAGCCATTTGTGATGGTGTCGTGTCCTTTAGAAGAATTTAACCCCATACCTGTTCTCTCATTGTAAGTCACCATAGTTAAGAATGCTTGAAATGTTTTAATTAAATCAGCACAACAGACGTGGTCATATGAAGGTAAAATAAATCTCTCACACAAATGATCCCCCTCTGCTTCTGTCTGGTCTTGTGTCTCAACCACTATCAGATCCAGCAGCTGCTTATTGACTGATTTTCTCTATTCCACATTCTGCTAAATATGTGACATTTATTCATAAACTTAGCCGAGTAACACTGAAGGCAGATGATTTCCTAAAGCTCAGGAGCAGTTAGGAGGAGCATGATTTACTAGTTGCTACCCATAGGCTGCTGTCACTGATCAGGTTTATGTAATGAATCCTATAAATATCCTCCGAGGCAAAGCACATCTCTGTGGTGACATTTTGTAATAAGCCCTGTCTGGAAATGACTGGTGTTGTGGGGAGAGTGGAGAAAATCTCATTCAAAATGAAATATAACCTACATATATATCCCACATATATCCTGACTAATAATCTAATCAGTAGTCTAACATAATCAGGTTCCTCAAAACCTGTTTTGTAACCTCAGTATATAAGCTTTCTCTGCCTGTAATTATAAGCGTGTTTAAGACTTGTTTTGTTAATGCAACCCAAAGTTAATTTGAGTCATCCCAAAGAAAGGAGTTTCGATCCAACACACTAACCGCTTTTGAACATTAAAGCATGTAAACATGTCACAGCAGAGGCAGAAATACAAATATGAACCTGAAAAAGACATTCTGTTTTTGTGAACATGGTAACCCTTTAACCTGCTGACATCAGCCTCTTAGCGTTGTCAATGTGATTAGGTTAGCATTTGGCACAAATGTGTGCACCTCCATTGGTTCCTTTAGTCTTATGAAATGTTCTTCCTTCTGGGGGAAAGAAATATATTGCATTGCTGCTATGGGAACATTTAGTTTTTCTAATTGTACGATTGCGAAGCTTTGCACTCCGGTTCAATCTACTTTATATCTAATCAAACTTTGGTTTACCAAGGCTCTCCAAAAGTCCAAGAGAAATGTCCTCATTGCTGCCGTGTATGAAGCAGCGTTTCCTGATTATCCTTCCTTATCATCCAAGAAGAATGTATCATTGTGCAAATTGGAAAAAATAATAATTTGAGATGATCTGTTCTTTGGTCTGGAGTCACAGCACTGGTCAATCAGGACTGTATAAACCATATCAAATTATGGTTTAGATGATCATATTATGGCAGAGCTCAGTGTGCCTTGGGAGCAGAGGTGGAGAGAAGCTTCAGAGAGAAACACAAGCCCTGCAGGAAACGATGATGTATGAGAGGAGATGAGTGCGTGGGTGAATCCCACTGAACTAAACTTTGCTTTCAGCTATGGCAATCAATACAATCTCTCACCTTTCACATATGTCTGAAAATATATCTTGTCGAAACAACTACTGTACAATTTCCTTTCAGTCAATGCCGACATCAGGTAGTACAATTTAGGACAGCACAGTTTGTTTCTGCTAGTTACAATCGTCCTATAAGCAAGTAACACAGTGTCTTTGTCTGAATTCAAGAATAGAAGACCCTTTTTATCACACTCAAACACTGGTTTACTATGATAAGGCAGGTCTATAGTGGGAATTGATAATGCTATAATACTAATAGATATTTGAAACAATAGTAGCAGTAATATTCTCAAAATTGCAGAACAATTTCTGGTTTATGCTGATGCTGAGAACTTGATTTAACTGCACACTTAAATCAACTGTTTCATTTTCGTCCACATTAGTGTTTACAATGTTGTGTTTATGTCTTCCATTTTTGTAAAGCACTTTGAATTGCCTTGTGTTGAAAGGTGCTATATAAATAAACTTGCCTTGCCTTGCCTTGCCTTGAAGACAATATATTGCACGTATACTCCACTACTATAAAGCATATACACAATATTATAACATATTGCTTTAAGTGTGCTGGTGGTAGTGGATAAAACGATAGATGGTTGCCTGCTGTGGGCAGTGTATTAAATGCTCAGATACCACATCAGATTAACTTCTAAGCCCTGCAGTGGTAACTTGGCATGTAAAAGATAATGGGTCACGCTCATGCATGCCACATACCCTCACAAACAGGAACACTACTTTTTGTGTGTGCGCCGGCACAGCAGAGATTACCCCCAAAGGAAAATAATTTAGGTTAGTAGGCCTCTATTCTGCTGATTATGGGTAACCTATTGATAGGTTAGCTACTGTACAAGAGCTCATTAAGTCTACTCAACATTTTAAAGAGTGAGATACAGTCATGTCAGCAGCTGAGCGCAGTAATTACGGATTACAGTGCGGTTTAATGTGGTGCACTTAACACCTTGGCTCTTTTGCCAGGGTTTAAATGTAGGATGTGTTTCAACATGTTTACTCAAAGAGGATATAATGACAGAG